CAAGTCATCGTGGCCGAAGGCTTGAGAGTGCTGGCTTTGTTGAAATCGTTCATTACGATGGATAACACGTTCTTTCCCAGAAACTGTAACTAAGATCTGCTCAGCATAGTTGCATTATAAACCACGGGTGGGATCTGTGGGTGTTGAATAAACACAAATGCGTCTGAGCAAGCGTCTCCAATAGGGAATTGCTAGCCGTCCTATTTGGCAGGTATCCTCGAATACGAGTGGCCAACTATATATATTTGAAAGTGACTACCAGTGAAGCTTCCCGGCTCAGATATTGAACTCATTGTAGAAAAAGAAACCTCGGTGAGTGGACGTCAAGCGTGACAGTCAACAGCCGGCATCAAGTTTAAGGTTCCACGTTTTTCAGGATTGTCCGATGGTACAATGGCCGAGTAGATTAAAGTTAATTTCGTGAATTTGGTTCAATACCTGGGCCGGACATTATGTGTTAATAATCAGTTGAAATAGTAAGAGCAATAACTATTAAATAATAGCTAGGCTAGGTTTCTCTAGACATAGACAATAAGGCAGGTTGATTTTTCACTTTGTTTAAGAAATCAACTTTGCAATGAGTGTGAAATCTTGGGCCTGGTGTGATAAATACTGACATCAAAAATTAGATTTATAGCTCTTACCAATTTTTGAGCATTGAAGCTTAAAGATCGTATGAAAAAGTGTACAGAAATGCTTAATTTCTGCAGTCCAAAACTGACTTCAAAATTTTACTATTTCAAGAATAAAGTTGATATATTTTGTATTAGATACATTGAATGGAAAATATATTCAAGCCAGAATTCTAATTATGAATTATCACAAGCAAAAAAGAATGAATTTTTTTTACTTATTCAATAAATCTATTAAAAAAAAATCATACTTATTATAAAAACCCAATGAATAATATTGTGATCATGTGTGTGATGTGTGTGTGTGTGTGTTGTGTGTGTGTGTGTGTGTGTGTGTGTGTACGTTTATATTGGATCGGATTATACATTTTTCAACTGATTTCAACAAACCTTCACAGGACTACGTAAGATTACCTTGCGGTGGTCCTGTCAATATAAAAAATTGAAAAAACACAATTGTTTTTTTTGCACGAAATTAATTTGAAAACACGATTAAGAGGCATCACTGTCGCCAGAATGAAAGGAGGACAACTCATATCGAGTTATACTTATTATAAAACCCAGGTTGTTTGTGTGTGTGTGTGTCTGTGTTCGTTTATATATGGGATCGGATTTCCTACATTTTTTAATATATTTCAACAAAAATTCACTTTTGGGCGGGCAGGTAGTGTTTCTTATTGTCTTGCACACTTTTTTCTTTATTTTTACATTCAGAATGCTTTAAAAATTCCATTTACAAGACAATTGTTTATAATAAAATTCTATTCAATCGATAGACTCATAACGATTGAAAACAATTTTTTTCTTTGAGTTTGGGTTTGACCAATTCAAAAAAAAAAAAAAAAAAAAAAAAACTAATTAAGACATGCGTGTCCGTCAACCTTAAACAATAATCTTTGTCAATTTTATTTTTCAGTCTTTATGATGGTCGATACTTGATCTATCACTTACTGTTACATCCCCGGGCAACGCCGGGCTCTACTACTAGTAATTAATAAAAACAAAAAATAGATAAAAGTGTATACAACACCATGATACTAATGGACACAAATTATAAAAGAAAATATTTCAAATTTGTATTGTTTATTGAAAATCACACTAAAACTACGACACTATAACATATTGCATATTAATATAGCTAAATTGTTCAGTATAATTTACTTTTGAAGTAAATGAATGTCTTATTTGATGGCGCAATGATTTGTAATAATGTGCTTGTGCCATTCATCTTGTCCATAGACAATTTGTAAATTATAAATTTTATAAGACTGTGCTATAAGTAAGGCTTTCATTGATCAGCGGAATGGAATTCCAATGTTATAATTTCAACCTAAACTTAATAATTTAAAATCATTTCCTCAAAAACCGGTAACGATTTGGAAAAAAAATATTGTGTCGTTATTTATTGTGTCAAGCTACAACTTTCAAATTGAGAGCAATACCACGCTTCCAAAATCAACCTGCCATATTGCCTGCAATAGGCACAGCGACCAGAAATAATGAATTTTATCAATTTTTTTCTTCTTTATCAAGAGGAGGTTTGAAGTAACAGAAATATAGTTCTACAGAAGGATGCTGAGGATATCATAGATATCATGTGAGCAACGACGAAGTTTCGGGGAAAATGGAAACAAGAAAGTAACCAGTACTTAACATCGGGAATCAACAGTTGAATGAAATTTCAATGCTACGATTTTTAACCTAAACTTAAACATTTAAAATAGTTTCCTAAAAAAAAAAAACGGTAACAATTTGGAAAAGAAATATTGTTTCGTTATTTATCCTGTCAATCCAGAACTTTCAAACTGAGATCAGTACCAAGTTTCCAAAGTTGACATAATCTTACTGACAATGGAATGAGAATAATCTACCCCTGTATGTCAAATAAAAGGTTCGGTTCGAATTTCCCTGGAGTTTAACCGAGTCGACAAGAAGCTGATCAAGGCCGGAAGGCATAACGATCGAAAAAGTGTGTTAAAACAACAACAACGACCAGGCAAAACAGACCGCACGTAAATAGTGTAAGTAATGATAATTCCCTATTTAAGAAATTCTAACAGAAAGAAGTGTTATTTAACCAGATACCTGGTTGAATACTGACCTGCAGGGACACTCGGTGTCGACTGGCTCACTGACATTCTCCCAGGCAGCAAACTCCGACTCATCGCTTTGAAAAAGTAAAATAAAAAATAAAAACCTTTTGGAGTTCTTTTCAATCAACAAAGTTTAATTGCTCGGATGTCAAACATATATATATTTAATTATAAATGTACACACAAATCCCTTCCAAAGTAAACTTACCATAAAAGGAACCTTTGAATAATATATGGTATATATATATATATATATATATATATATATATAGAAAAATATATAAATATAAAATATACATACATACAAAATATATAAATATATTTACATACATAAAATAATTATAAGAGTTTATAAAAAATCCAGGATAGAAGGTAGAACTCAATGTCCAGGACAGAGTAAGGATATAATAAAAAAAAATAAATTTTAAAATTTATTTATTTCCCAATGGATAAATCATAGACCTTCAAATGGAAAAAAACAAAAACCATGGAATTTTTTTTTTTTAATAAAGAAAAATTATATATTTATATATATATATAAATTAGGACCATGGAATTATTGAGTATTTGATATATTATGTTTAAGAAATTCATTTGATAATAATGTTCTGAAAAAAAAGAAAACAGACGGAATGCAGAAAGCACTGGACGGCCATTTCGTATCCTATTTGGGACTCATATATATGTGCGCTTCCACTACCAGAATTTGAAACCATGACAGTTAGATTGTCAAGCAAACATCATACCAACTGTTCCAAATGGGCCTCGGTGACAAAGAGATTGCAAATCAGACTCAATATAGGGACGCTCGCTCACATATTCCGTGGTGGAACTCTTACTGAGTTCTCTGTAACCATGAGTCCCAAATATAGGACGAAAAGGCCGTCCAGTGCTTTCTGCATTCTGTTGAGGTTTCTTTCAGACTCGATGAATTACTTAAATATATAAATATATATATATATATATATATATATATATATATATATATATATATATATATATATATAATAAAAATTTTTAAAAGCCATATAAACCTAAAAAAGGTTTCACCTACGCGGATCGTCAGGGAACACTGACGATTCGCGTAGGTGGAATCTTGGTAGGTTTACCTGGCACTTTAGATTTAATTAGGTTTTCTCTACTTAGCATATTGAGTACTTTATTTCGTTATTTTAGTTACTCGTATCGGTTTTTTTCTCTGAACTCTGAACTTGGATGCTAGACGATTGTTTTCGGCTGACGTCCATATATTCTCTGTTTTTTCTTTTTTTGTACCTTTTTTTCTCCTTGGATATTGGTTTGTTACATATATTTATATATTTACATATCAAAGTACCTAGGATTCAAGGGAAGTATATTTTCTTATATTTTTAAGAAAAGATTAATTATATATATATATATATATATATATATATATATATATATATATATATATATATATATATATATATATATATATATATTTAAAATCGAAGGTTCACGCCATTTAAAATTTTCAGGTTCAATTTTTCTATGTACACCGTTAATGTTATTAAACTTATCAGACGTTACGAAAACAATTTACATAAATTAAATAGGCAAACTTGTCTATATTATTTAATGAAACGTGTATATATATATATATATATATATATATATATATATATATATATATATATATATATATAATATAATGACATAATTTTATCATTTCCGGCAATCCATAATTCATAATTAACTGTGCTGAGACGCTCGTAAATTGACGCGGGCTTTCGTCACGTATTGTTAATGAGAGCTAAAAATATTCTTACTTAAGCTAACCCATCAGACGATCGTTAAATTAACCAATTTTTTTTTATCTGCCGTAGGAAAAGTTATAAAACTCAGCGTGATATATTTTGTGTGTTAAAATGTAACGGTTGCTGTTTTATGTTTCTTAAGTAACGCTGACCAAGATTAATGAAACCAAATTTTATCATTACATTTTGTCATTTCATTTAACAGTCCAATGAATTACATCAGCAATGGAAACGAATTTATTTAACACTTTTTTCTATTATCGATGAAAAAAAAAAACATTATTGGAAGTTGCATAAACTTCAATATGTCGGCCATTGCCTGTCATGAAGATGTTACTTTTGCAGTGTGCAGACGTTAATTTTCAGTGGGTCTTTCCTTGAGGATCAACAGTCTGAAGAAAAACATTTTAAATCTGAAATATTTTCAGGCGGCAGGGGAAACCATTTTTATATGCTGAGCAAAACCGATTAAAATTATCTCATTTTACGACATGTATTCAATTGTTAAAATGGGCGGACTTTTGTGGAACATATGATGAATGTAGATAGATAGATAGATAGATAGATAGATAGATAGATAGATAGATATGAATACACAGAAATCGATAGATAGATATGAATGCAGATACATAGATTTGAACAGACTGAGATATATATGAAAAGATAGATATGAATAGACCAGATAGATTCGATAGATTGATAGATAGAATACATAGATAGATAGATAGATAGATAGATAGATAGATAGATAGATAGATATTTTGAAATAGATACATAGATGAATAGAAAAGAAGATTGATATGATAGATGAGATATATATGAAAGATAGATAGATAGATATAGATATCTGAACAGAAAGACATGAAACACAAAGATATATTATCAGATTAGATTCATGTTTTGAAAAGATATAGATATGAATAGACAGAGATATGAATAGATAGATGATAGATAGATAGATATAGAGAGATTAGATAGGATGCATTAAAAATAATTGATATGAAACATAGATAGAATAGAATATTTATATATGAAAAGATAGATATGAATTTTAGATAGATAGATAAATTGAACAGACAGAGTTATATTATTTAAGAAGAATATAGATATGAAGAGATTGATAAATTGAAGAGACTGAGATAAAAAATAGATAGATAGATAGATAGAGCGTCTGATCTTTTTAAATAAGTCATCGTAAATTTGAATAAGTCAAGACCTGAAGGAAAAAAATTACCGTTTCTCCATACAAGACATTTTGTCCTCTAATTTTATTATTTTCGTCTCCAAAACACACCGTAAAACAGAACTTTCCAAATTCTTATCGGCGTTAATGTTTAAGTCTATCTTCACGGACACCTTAATCAGAAGAAAAAAAAACATCACAATAGAATTAATACTTATGAAGTCCGGTTAGTTACACAGACCCTTTGGCGTTTACTTTTACAACGTTCAGGTACATATTTATGTTTTCCATTCACCTGGTTTCCTTTTATCTTGAAATTTCATCCTTTGCTTATTTATTTTTTTATTATTATTATTATTTATGCTACCGGTTCCTACCGAAAGGAAACCCTCATGGAAAGGGCATGAATTCACATCTTCTCCCCTCAGCTATGGGTTAAATAGTAGGACTTGTATCTGAAATTCATTATTATCTCAAAAATAATCCAAAAATATGTTTCGATTTTAAATAACCATAAAAAGGTTGATAAACCGTAAAAAAACGAATCAGTCCATTAATTCAGAATGTGTATACTTTGTACACTTGTTTCATGCCTGTTTTCTACTGCGCGTAAATCCATAAAGTCTAGGTGCCATAGAGGAAAGCTCATCAAAACAATTATCATGAAAATTATTTAAATAAAAGACACAGGGAAGCTAGGTTATGGCGGTGGAGAAGCCGAGATGTCAGGTCAGCACCAATAAGACTGCAGATCCGTCTTTGGATTTTATCAAGAATATCTAAGTATATAGGAGCTGCACCAGACCAGATATGGCAACAATATTGAAAGCAAGGACGAGTGGTAGACTTATCTCTATATTTATATATATAAAAAAAAAAACAGATGTCTGTCTTTTTGTGTGATACCTTTTCACTCGAGATCCATCCAACCAATTTTGAGCAAATCTGGCGTATACATTGTACAATGTAAGGGGTGGCTTCTTAGCGTAAAAAATGATAATTTTAAAAAGTCAATAATCAATAAAACCTATAAAAAATCGATAAATTAAACTTTTTTCTCCGATTTCGTTTAAACTCGGTATATAGGTTACTTACATCATGACGAGCTCAACGATACCTCATTTTTATTTCTTCGACACTGCGATTAGCAAAAAAAAAAACGCGAAAAACCGATTTCAACACAAATCGATTTCAACACAAATTTTAAACTAAAAACTCCCTCAATTTTCAAGCAATCTAATACAAACTTCATTCCTTTGTAGCCAACAATAAATTTATTGTTTAACAGTCATTTAACTTGATAATTGAGTCCCCCCATAGTGTGAAAACCTGCGTAAATAGCGAAAAATGACGATTTTTCCTGGTTTATTTTTCATTGATCTTTCAACCAATTTTCATGAAACTCAACAATTTCTTTATAAATGTATCCTCTTTTACATCTCTGGTAGCACACTGACAAAATAATTGTGGTCTGAAATGGGTCTTCATGTTGCCTGTTTTACCCCTTCATGTCCTCGGCTAACTTCGATTGAATAAATACAGACTACTTCTGTTATATCAGTAACTGCATTAATTTAAAATGTTTTTTAAAGAAACTACTTTAAAGTAATTGAAGAAGATAGACCCTGTTATATCTAAACATGGTGCTGTTTTTGCTCCATTCTAATTGAATGCTTTTTCTGATCGACTAGCTGGGTATGGCTGCTAGGAATTAAAATTCTGATTAATTGTATATTGCATATTGTATTTTTCCCATTTCCATGAAGCCAGTCATGAATTCTTATATGTAAATGGTTTCTACTTCTGTCTATTATTTTCAATTTGGTTGTTATGGCAATAAAATCTAGATTTTGGGGGATGTTGGATGTTGTCTTCTGCATTCAAAATAGACATGTTCGTTTCTATCCGTGGTTACTGAAAGTTTTCAATTTCTCAAAAGCTGGAGGAAATCTTTTTTCGTATTTATCGTCTGCTTTTTTTTCAAGAGACTTTCTCGGAGGAAAAAAAAACTGCAGATATCAAAGGGTCTTCATGTTACCTGTTTTACTCCTTCATGTCATCGGCTGACTTCGATTGAATAAATACAGACTACTTCTGTTATATCATTAACTGTATTAATTCAAAATGTTTTTAAAGAAAGTACTTTAAAGCAATTGAAGACGATAGATTCTATTACAGCTAAACATGGTGCTGTTTTTGCTCCATTCTAATTGAACGCTTTTTCTGATCAACCAGCTAGGTATGGCTGCTAGTAAATTTATAAAATAAATTCTGGCGAAAAAAAAAAGATTTTCAGGAGAAAGTTTCTAATATTGCTTACTTTATCGGGAATTACTCTAAACGCTAACTAGTTTCGGATAAAATAAAAAATTCCCCCAATTTGTTTATCAAATTTCTTCTAATCAATTCAGTACAGGAGGTTATTAATCTTAGCAATATTAACACCTTCCCTCCACTTGGACGAGATGTGACACAAGGTCTTTTTTAGGTAGGGACCCGAGCGTGTACGCACGGGACAAGGACAAAAATTGCCCTCAGCCCCGGCAACCGACGGTTGCGCTGGCCTCAGTGCGAGCACCGATCCCTCCTTCTTGTGCAATGGGGGGACGCGGCCTCGGGCAGCTGTTCCCCCGGGCTGGGCACATCTCAGTATTATTTTTCTCAGTTGCCCCTCTGACATTTGACATAGAAGCCCCTGAACACACTCTGCCCAAAGACAGAGACGCAACTGAGAGATGATAAGCCTGCGTTAGATATCCCTCCAAAGAGGAATATCTACGCTTGTTTATCGTAACACTCAACATCCTCTCAAGATAAAAGCTTTGTAAAAGACAAAGTTTCAACGGTGAACGGCACACTGTAATTAACGTCATGGCAGTTGTGCCTCTTTTATCATTATAGCCGTGTCTTAAAGTGTTAAATGAAGACTGCCAGAAATTAGAACGTGGCCTCATCCTTTCACAGATGAAAATAGCTTGGTGTTACCGGAAGTTCTATCCTAACAGGTTCTTTGTTGGCATTTTTCGCTTCTTCAACTCTCTTCCGGTTTCTTCTTTCCGGTTTTGTTGCTAGACAATCTTTTCTCCAGAATCTATATAAGTTACCATCTGTCCTTGCTTTGTCTATTGCTGCCACATAGGCTCCGGTGTTCCTGCTATATATCAGAATCTTGATAAAATCAAAAAAGGAATCTGCAATTTATAAGTCATACCATTCGTCCTTGCATTTTCTACAAACATTTGTCTGATTGCTTTCATCTTTTGGTATCTAAATGAAGGCGGTACCGATTGTGTTCTTATTATTTTAAAGTTGAAATGGCTAGATATAAGTTTAGAACAATTTCTGACTTCACGCTTGTGGGATTTTCTCCAGGCTTCTTTCTGTCCAGTTAACTTTGACGTTTAAAAATTTAAATGCAATGCCAATCGTCACTGCTGTCTTTTCTTTTATTGTTCTCGTTCCTTAATAATTTTTTTTCTTTTTTTTCTCATATTCTCTAATACTCACCACCCTTATATCTTAGTGGCTTTATAGCCTTGTTTAGGGTGAAATGCTTAAAATAAATAGGTATGGACCGATTTTAAACAAGTTTATGTCGAGTAAAAGGTTGGAAAAAAAATCTACTCACTGCCTCACAGAAAGGTCGCGCAAGCGATTGGAATTCAGTTGAATTAGGATCAGTGTAATCTTCTAAAAAGGTTTCGTTCAAAACCCTGACAGAGACTTGGGCACGTCTCCCTTCTGAAACGATGAAAAATAAAAACAAAGAGGAATTAAAAAGATAAATTTAATAAAAAACTGTCCAATGTTTATCATTTTCCATATCTTCTATAAAACAGACGACACTCGCTTACTCTTGTTCCCTACAATGGGGTCACGTAGATTTGATTAAATTTTGGTTGTAGAATAATGAGATCAGGGTCAAGATGTGAGGACACGTACTGCTGCATTCGCTGGCCGAGACTTTTCTTCGGGCTCTGGCCATTGGTTTGGGATCAAAGTGTAGTATTTCTAATGTTAATCACTTCTATATAAGGAAGCATTCGGCCTAGCAGCCAATGCTACTAGAGTTACGCATTTCTTCACCACCCCCCGATCATCAGGTATTGACCAAAGAGCAGGATCTTTAATGCGAATACTAATATTGGCTTTTTCCTAATAAGGAAACGTTCGGAATTTAATTGGCCGAACAGCCAGTGCCACAGGAGTAACGCTTTTCTTCACATCCTGGTCATCGTGCTGGGATCAAAATGTTGTACCTGTTCTTATCATCTCTAATAGTAATAATGAAAATATCCATTTCATTATAAGCAAACATTCATTAACCGAGCAGCCGGTGCTATTCGAGTTACATTTTTTTCACTCCCTGATCATTGTTCTGTGATCAAACTGGAGTATCTGTTTTATTTATCTCCAATGGTAATAGTAAAATTAACTTTTCCTTATAAGGAAATATACGGCCTTAATTAACCGAGCAGCCAGTTATGCTGGCCATCTGATTGGGATCAAAGTGTAGTATCTGTTCTTCTAATTTTTAATGTTTTTTTTTTAAAATACAGTGTAACCCGGATATAAGAGAGTTGGCGGGACCGGAGAAGAAGTCTCTTATATCCGGGTTTCTCTTATATCCGGATTTGGTCTATTTTGCTTAGGTAAGTATGGCTCTAATTTGGGACCAGAGAAAAACTCTCTTATATCCGGGTTTCTCTTATATCAGGGTCTCTTATATCCGGGTTACACTGTATTAGCTTATAATGGTTATTTTTAATTTTTCCTTATAAGGAAACACTTGGCCTTCATTGAGTGAGCAGCCATTGCTACGCGAGATACGTTTTGCTTCACTCCGTGGCTGTCGGTCTAGGTTTGAAGTGTATGTGTTCTCCTCAACTCTAGTGGTAAGAGTAATAACTGGACAAGACAGAGATTAACAACAATAACTAATAATAAAATAGAACAATTATAACAATATAGACTGTAATAAAAGTTATGTGCCGGATAGAAGATTCATTCTTACCATAGATCTTATTAGGCACAATAAGAGATTAACAACAATAACTAATAATAAAATAGAACAATTATAACAATATAGACTGTAATAAAAGTTATGTGACGGATAGAAGATTCGTTCCTACCGTAGATCTTATTAGGCACAATAAGAGATTAACAACAATAACTAATAATAAAATAGAACAATTATAACAATATAGACTGTAATAAAAAGTTATGTGACGGATAGAAGATTCGTTCCTACCGTAGATCTTATGAGGCACAATGAGAGATTAACAATAATAACTAATAATAAAATAGAATAATTATAACAATATAGACTGTAATAAAAGTTATGTGACTGATAGAAAATTCGTTCCTACCGTAGATCTTATTAGGCACAATAAGAGATTAACAATAATAACTAATAATAAAATAGAACAATTATAACAATATAGACTGTAATAAAAGTTATGTGACGGATAGAAGATTCCTTCCTACCGTAGATCTTATTAGGCACAATAAGAGATTAACAACAATAACTAATAATAAAATAGAATAATTATAACAATATAGACTGTAATAAAAGTTATGTGACGGATAGAAGATTCGTTCCTACCGTAGATCTTATTAGGCACAATAAGAGATTAACAACAATAACTAATAATAAAATAGAACAATTCTAACAATATAGACTGTAATAAAAAAGTTATGTGATGGATAGAAGATTCATTTCCTACCGTAGATCTTATGAGGCACAATAAGAGATTAACAACAATAACTAATAATAAAATAGAACAATTATAACAATATAGACTGTAATAAAAATTATGTGAGGGATAGAAAATTTGTTCCTCCCATAGACCTTATTAGGCACAATAAAGAGATTAACAACAATAACTAATAATAAAATAGAACAATTATAAATACAAGAATATAGACTGTAATAAAAGTTATCCATGACGGATGGAGAAGAACTGTTCCTACCGTAGATCTTATTTAGGCACAATAAGAGATTAACAATAATAAGTAATAATAAAATAGAACAATTATAACAATATAGACTGTAATAAAAGTTATGTGACGGAGAGAAGATTCATTCTTACCATAGATCTTATTAGGCACAATAAGAGATTAACAACAATAACTAATAATAAAATAGAACAATTATAACAATATAGACTGTAATAAAAGTTATGTGACGGATAGAAGATTCGTTCCTACTGTAGATCTTCTCAGGCACAATAAGAGATTACCAATAACAATTACAAATAATATTCCTTCTATTATTTTCCGAAGATGCATTATAAATTTAAAGAATTGTTCAGACTATTGATCGAATTCTTCTTATTGAAATCAACTTCAAATATTATCTTCCATAGATCGGGCCCTCCATGGAATAACGGAAACTGGCTTACCATATTTAGTTAGTAATTTACACCATGTGCATTTGCATCTATACTTTATAATTATAAGACTATTGAAATTTCTTGGACACATCATGAGAAAAGAGGATTTGGAGATTTTAATACACACAGCACGGACGGATGGAAACGTCCGAAGGAAAGCATAAAGAAGAAAAATTTATTGCAAAGCCAGGAGACAAGAACAGATGGTAAAGAGTTAAATGCTGCTTAAAGCTACAAACGACAGGAAGTGGTGGAGAGCCATGATCGCCAACGTCCTGAAAGGTCAGCGAAGACAAGAACAGATAGTAAATAAATGAGTTTTAATGACATAGTAGCCAAGCGAGGACAAAGGATGGTAATAAATCTAAATAGTAAAAGGTTGCTGAGGTTTTAATGGAAGAAGTAGTGGAGAGCCATGATCGCCAAATTCCAGAAGGGGAAGAGGAGCAAAAAAAAAAAATTGATTGCATAGCATAGCGAGGACAAGAACAGATTGTAATAGTAAAAAGGTTGCTTAGAGTTTTAAAAAAGAGGAAGTAGTGGAGAGCCATGGTCGCCAACGTCCTGAAGGGTCAAAAGGAAGACAAGAACAGAAGAAGAAAAGCAATTGCATAGTAGAGCGAGTACAAAGGTAGTAATCGGTCTAGCATTGCTTAGAGCCATAAAAGAAAGTAGTGGAGTTTTAATGGACCATGAGTCGCCCACTCCCTGAAGGAAGAGGCACACAAAAAGAAAAAAGTGATTGTAGATAACAAGAACAGAAGAGTAAAGAGCAGGTGTTAAAGAGTAAAACGTTGCTGAAAGTTATAATGGACAGGAAGTAGTGGAGAGCCATGGTTGTAAAACATTGGTGAGGGACACGATGGACAAAAGAAAGAAGTCGCCAACGTCCTGACTGAATGGATACAAAGAAGGGATTTTTAAAGATTCAAAACGTTGCTAAAAGGTTTAGGAAGTTTTAATGGACAGGAAGTAGTGGAGAGCCATGGCCACCAACGTCCTGACAGGACAAGGCACATAAAAGAAGAAAAGTGATTGCATAGCATAGCGGAGACAAGAACAGATAGTAAATAGTAAAACGTTGCTGAGAGTTTTAATGGACAGGAAGTAGTGGAGAGCCATGATCGCCAACGTCTTAAAAGGAGATGGCAGATAAAAGAAGATAACGTGAATGGATGGCAGTCCGGGGACAAAAGAAAAGTGTCAAACGTAGCTTCGCGTCCTGAGAACCTTTAATAAGAGGTTGTTGAGGAATGGTGGTGGAGAGCCATGGTCGCCAACGTCCTGACAGGAAGAGGCACATAAAAGAAGAAAAAGTGATTGCATAGCGGAGACAAGAACAGATAGTAAATAGTAAAAAGGTTGCTGAGAGTTTTAATGGACAGGAAGTAGTGGAGAGCCATGACCGCCAACGTCCTGACAGGAAGAGGCACATAAAAAAGAAAAGTGATTGCAGCCATAACAAGCGGAGACAAGAACAGATAGTAAATAGTAAAAGGTTGCTGAGAGTTTTAATGGACAGGAAGTAGTGGAGAGCCATGGTCGCCAACGTCCTGACAGGAAGAGGCACACAAAAGAAGAAAAAGTGATTGCATAGCATAGCGAAGACAAGAACAGATAGTAAATAGTAAAAGGTTGCTGAGAGTTTTAATGGACAGGAAGTAGTGGAGAGCCATGGTCGCCAACGTCCTGACAGGAAGAGGCACACAAAAGAAGAAAAAGTGATTGCATAGCATAGCGAAGACAAGAACAGATAGTAAATAGTAAAAGGTTGCTGAGAGTTTTAATGGACAGGAAGTAGTGGAGAGCCATGGTCGCCAACGTCCTGACAGGAAGAGGCACACAAAAGAAGAAAAAGTGATTGCATAGCAAAGCGAAGACAAGAACAGATAGTAAATAGTAAAAAGGTTGCTGAGAGTTTTAATGGACAGGAAGTAGTGGAGAGCCATGGTCGCCAACGTCCTGACAGGAAGAGGCACACAAAAAGAAAAAAAATTGATTGCATATATAGGAAGACAAGAACAGATAGTAAATAGTAAAAGGTTGCTGAGAGTTTTAATGGACAGGAAGTAGTGGAGAGCCATGGTCGCCAACGTCCTGACAGGAAGAGGCACACAAAAGAAGAAAAAGTGATTGCATAGCATAGCGAAGACAAGAACAGATAGTAAATAGTAAAAGGTTGCTGAGAGTTTTAATGGACAGGAAGTAGTGGAGAGCCATGACCTCCAACGTCCTGACAGGAAGAGGCACATAAAAGAAGAAAAAGTGATTGCATAGCGGAGACAAGAACAGATAGTAAATAGTAAAAGGTTGCTGAGAGTTTTAATGGACAGGAAGTAGTGGAGAGCCATGGTCGCCAACGTCCTGACAGGAAGAGGCACACAAAAGAAGAAAAAGTGATTGCATAGCGTAGCGGCGACAAGAACAGATAGTAAATAGCGAAACATTGCTGAGAGTTATAATGGACAGGAAGTGGTGGAGAGCCATAGATGCCCACGACCTGATTCATCATTTGCCATGATGGATAAAACAAAGAGTGGAAAAAGCACTTACCAACATATCTGTGAAGAGAACCTGTAATGTAATTAAAAGATAAGAGTCAAGTTTTGACGTCAGTGGAAATAAAATTAAAGGTAACAATATGAGAACACGCTGAATAACCTTTAGTCCGGCTAACTTTCCATAATCCGGCCAAATTTCTTTAGAAATTCCTGGTCAGTCCGAGAACATTTTAGCATCCACCCGTATCAGAATAATTATTATGCAAACAATTATATTAAGTCTCTCGGTTCGATAAGTTCGGCAGCTGAGCTCAAAAATGACCTCCAATCTGTTGTTAACAGGGGCAAGAAATGGCTTGTTAAAAACCTCTCGTTTAATGGCCAATGCTAACCTCCAAGAAAGTGACTACTTGCGACTTCTGCTGTCATGAAGTGGAAAGATGATATCAAATGCTATGCCTGCTGCTAAGAACGTTGATTCATTTGTCTCGCCCTAATCTATCTTACATATTTATAAGTCTACAATTCCTCCATACAAAGGGTTCTTTGAGACGATTAAAACAGCAATCTCGTTCCGGAGGCGTTAAAATTAACACGCCATTGATTGTCCCAGTTAACAACCAACAGATGGTTGATACTTTTGAGTTTATCATGAAAACGACGGTGTTCTTGTGGCTTCTTCACGCCCAAGCCTCGGAGGATGGCTTTCTAAAATAAATGACTTACCTGGCTGCAAGAAATAGTAGCATACGAAAGCGGCCAATGCCGAGAAAAGCGCGGCCAATAGAAGAAGGAGGAGAAGGAGGCAAAAACGCCGGCATCGATTGCGTTTGTCAGTTTTGTAAATGGCCACTCCTTGTCCCTGCCATTGATCAGTGCCCTGGGTTGCTTGCCATGAATTGGTTTTCTTTCGCCCAGTCGGATAATTGACGGATGGCTGAAAAGAAAAAAGAAAAGAAAAAATATCGAACTGATTTTGGTCAGAATTCTTCAGATGAGGAATCATCCTTATTATATGTTTTGCTATTGATTTGATAATTGAGCTGATAGAGGAATCATGTTTGTTTTGCTATTCGAAACAGACTTTATCATGTTTGTTGCAACCGTTAGTCTATTACCGATTTGATAATCTGAGCTGATATTCTTCAGATGAGGAATCATCCTTATTATATGTTTTGCTATTCGAAACAGCCTTCTCATGTTTGTTGCTATGCTCGCAACCTTTAGTCTATTACCGATTTGATAATCTGAGCTTATATTCTTCAGATGAGGAATCATCCTTATTTTATGTTTTGCTATTCGAAACAGCCTTCTCATGTTTGTTGCTATACTCGCAACCGTTAGTCTATTACTGATTTGATAATCTGAGCTGATATTCTTCAGATGAGGAATCATCCTTATTATATGTTTTGCTATTCGAAACAGACTTCTCATGTTTGTTGCTATACTCGCAACCGTTAGTCTATTACCGATTTGATAATCTGAGCTGATATTCTTCAGATAAGGAATCATCCTCATTATATATTTTGCTATTCGAAACGGCCTTCTCATGTTTGTTGCTATGCTCGCAACCTTTAGTCTATTACCGATTTGATAATCTGAGCTGATATTCTTCAGATGAGGAATCATCCTTATTATATGTTTTGCTATTCGAAACAGATTTCTTATGTTTGTTGCTATACTCGCAACCGTTAGTCTATTACCGATTTGATAATCTGAGCTGATAATCTTGAGATGAGGAATCATCCTTATTTTATGTTTTGCTATTCGAAACAGCCTTCTCATGTTTGTTGCTATACTCGCAACCGTTGGTCTATTACCGAATTGATAATCTGAGCTGATATTCTTGAGATGAGGAATCATCATTATTATGTTTTACTATTCGGACCAGCCACCTCATCTTGATTGCTATACTCGCAACACTTAGTCTGTTACCGAATTAATAATTTGAGCCAGAATTTTTAAAATGAGTAATTATTGGCTTTTCGTACCAGCCTTCTCATCTTGGTTAATATGCTCGCGACCTGATTTGATAATTTAAGCCGAAATTCTAGAGATAGGAAATTATCATTTTTATATGCAATCATGACTCTCCGCAATTTCCTTTCTTTCATGGCTCGTCAAAATCTTTGCATTTTTATTAGATTTACTAAAGAAATACGAAGAATGAGTAAGTAGCCCAGATGACGCAGATATCGATAATAAAATAAGAGAACGAATAAAGCAAAAGACCTACTCATCAACAGGATGCATAAAATCCAAGAATGAATCATTGATATTAGAGAAAGGAAAAATACTTCCTAGATGGAAGGAATCTGTCGAAGAACTCTTCCATAACGAAAGAGAACAACGAAGAATACACAGATATACTCGAAAGACCAGCAATATTAAAAATCTGATGTGGTATCAACAACAGCCTAATTGAACAGAATCGTAATAGAGATTCTGGCATGATTTTAGAATTTTTCCCTGGGTATGACGATAAACTACATCCGGTAGCAAAGCCTTTGATTGTGTGGTTTTGAGGAGCGTTAATTGTTGCTCTTCCCAGGCTCACCTTGAGCCGGGGTGGTAGCACCTGTTAAGGTCGCCAGCTCTGGGCAAATAGTAACTATTTAACTGCGATCAAAACACTATGAAACCATAAACAAATATAGTAAAACTACCAGCATTACATTTTCATAGTAAAAAAAACAAAAAAAAATGCAATACATTAAAAAAATAAAATAAAAATAAATATTACCAGCAATATATTTCTGTAAGGAAAAAGATATTACCAGCAGTACATTTTTATAAAAAATTACTACTGCTCCCAAGAAAATTAAAATTTCGGTATTAAATGACCCATAAAGAGTCGGTGTGCCGCTAAACAAACAAACATTTTGGAATTGACAAGATTACAGATATAATAAATGAAATATACAACTGTGATGATATACCGTAAGATCTAGGTAATTCCATTTTCATAGCACTGCATAAGAAGCCAGGTGTAAACGAATGTGACCTCCATTAGACAATCAGTCTAATGAGCCACATAAAATAACGTATCATCCGAATTCTGATGAATGGAGCTCGCAACAGGACCGGTTGTAAAATAGGACAAGAACAGTGTGGGTTCGTTAAAGACACTTGAACAAGAAATGCGATATTTATGTTCAGAATGATACCATAAAGAGCAATACAAATGCAAAAATATGTATACACATAGATTATGCAAAAATGTTTGATACTGTAAGGTAACCTTAACGTATTCGGCGAATATATTAGAATAATGCAGAAACTATACGGGCAGAAATACCGATAGAAAATGAATTCAGTAAATATTTAAAGTATAGAAACGAATATAAGACAAGGGTGTGTCTTCTCGCCGGACATATTCAGCCTATACAGTAAGGCGATTCCGGGAGAATTAGAAGACTGATCTGGATTCATTATTTGCAGCCATTATCTTAACAATATGCGATATGCAGATAACACTGTGCTGATAGCAGACACAGAGAGAACTCCTGCAAAAGGTATTGAAAGAAAGCAAGAAGAAAGGACTAAGCATCAACTGTAAGAAGACAGAATGCATTGTTGTTAGCAAAAGGAGCAGCCTAACATGTAAATTACAAATTGGAGATACAAATCAAACAACTATTTACATTATTCGGACTATTGTCCTCATCTTTGTCGCCATATTTATTACAACGTTTCGGCCGTTGTACGCTCCGGCCTTCTTCAGGTGACTGGAATGTCGAACTGAACCCTTTATTTCTCTCGCTGCTTTGTGCCTTATGCCACATGATGCCCTCTGGGGGGGGGGGTGACTAAATACTGTTCAGTCTGAAGTCCGGAGTGAAGTCTGTAAGTCGGGTCAGAGGCAGTCCGAAACAGAGTCTCGTTCAGACAATTACTGCAAGACATTGGAATAGTGATACTGGTCGAGACTACATTGTTCTCTCTACTAAACCTGATTGTTCATACTAACACTTTCTACTTCTCTGTATATATTCCTGTTTGTAATATATCTGTGTTATTCCATATCCGTATTCGAGTTCTTCTTTATTGGTTCTACCTTGGACTATCACCGTGGTACAAGGAACCGGACCATAAAATGGAAGAAAAATGGGGAAATACATAGATCTCCTAAAGGAAGAAAAAAGAATAGAAAAATTGACATTACTAGAGATAACATGATTGGTTTTTTTTAAATAATTGATACTCAACAAGGACTGTCAATCCAGGATGGATGAATATATGCTTGTACGTAACCTACCAAATAAGATTTTAAGTTATTAGAACAATTTACAATATTGATTGAAAGATGGACTAAAAAAGGAAAAATTTATGAAGAGCTATAAAGATAGGAAATTGTGAAAGTCGTTTTCAGAACTCCTGAAGGGACTCAGCACATAAAAACACAATTATAAAGACAATATTGATCATTTAAACCCAATTCATTGGAAAAATATCAACCAAATTTGACACAACAAAAAGAATTTTCACAACGATGCAAGGAGATGTTTTAAAATAAAATCCATAAGAAATATTCAATGAACTGAAATAACATCTTGCGGACATATATATATATACACACCTTTTCAAATTATAAGGCTGAAACTCAGTTTGATAAATTTCTCGATTCTTTCTTTCTTACAGTAAAGGTCTAATGACTCTTAGCCTTCTCTGTCAGTTTTAGAGCCTGTGGAAGGTAAATTATCCTTGTTTTCTTTCTTTTCATTCATTTAACTTTTTCTTTCTTTCAAAAAATCATTTAATCAGATTTCTTTCAGATAAAAATTTCAAAATAAAACTCCAATTTTCAACCAAATCATTTCTTTTTTAAGGATAATTCATTTAAAAGGAACTAAAATTTCAATTTTATAGCCCTCGTCCTTCTCCAATATTATTCTTTTTTATAATCTTTGTTTCTCTTCAACTTTATTTATATTAAAATTTGTTGAATCATTAAAATTTATAAAAAAACATTCCTTCTTTTCCTTTCTGGGATCATTTATTTATAAACATATATAGATCATTTCTTCTCAAACAAAAAAATCATTTCTTTAATGCTTTTCTAACCAGATCATTTTATTTTTTATAATCAGATCATTTCTTGGTTTCTTTAATCAAACAATTAATTTTAATTTGGACTTTCAAATCTTTCTTTCTTTCTTTCAACCAGATTTTTCAAATTTCTTTCTAACCAGAACAAATATCAAAATAAAATATTTGGAGGTTCTTTCTTTTCTTTCTTTATTTTTTCTTTCTTGTTTTCTGGAACCAGATCATAACGTTATCTTTCTCACAGATCATTAATTTCTTTTTTAACCAGATGAAAATATTTATAAAACAAAAATTTGAATCCAAACTTTTTCTAACCAGATCATTTCTTTCTTTTCAAAACATGGAAAAGATGGTTGAAGATTAATTGAATCTTTTCTTTTTTCTAACAGATTTTCTTCATTTAAAGAATGAATAATTCGACTTTCTTTCTTTTACAAATGATCTTTCTTTCAACCACAATCATTTCTTCCCCATTTAGACCTCCAATTAAAAATTTATTTCTTATTTCATTACGAATTTCTTTCTAATTTTTGTTTCTTTCTACTGGACTTTCTTTCTTCTTTCTTTCTTCAAATTTTTTCTTATTTAAAAAAGAAAATTTCTTAAACGGACTTCTAACCAGATCCTTTTTTCTAAATTTCTTTTTTCTTTCATTTTCTTTCTTTTTTCTTTCAAAGATCATTTCTTTAAAATCTTATCTTAAACAGCAAAAAAATTCATCTTTCTCATTTTTCTTTCAGGTTTTTTTTCACAAAATCAGATCATTTCTTAATTTCTAACCCTAACCTTTGTTATTTCTTTTTGCACAGCCTTTAAAAATTTTATGATAAATATGATCTTTTTCTTTCTGGAAATATCCAATTCTTATTTGAACACTTCTCAGTTTTTTTAAACTACTGAATTTATTTATTACAAAAATCATTTTTATGAAAATTTTTTTGATTTTTTCAATGAAAA